TGGCGTGTTGTTCACCAGATAGTGGTCCCAGCTGCTTATCGTCGAGATGTCATGAGTTTAGCTCACGATACACCTATGGCTGGTCATTTAGGTATCAATAAAACATAATAGGATTTTGAGTCATTTTTATTGGCCTAAGCTAAGGAAGGATGTTTCTGAGTTTTGTAAGTCGTGTCATATCTGTCAGATGGTAGGTAAACCGAATCAGAAGATACCATCCGCCCCTCTCCAACCAATTCCAGCTTTTGAAGAACCGTTTAGTCGAGTGTTGGTGGATTGTGTAGGACCTTTGCCTAGGACCAGATCTGGGAACCAGTATTTACTTACCATTATGTGTACATCCACTCGATTCCCTGAAGCCATACCTCTTAGGAATATAAAGGCAAAGACAATGTTATTGCAGATGCCTTGTCCAGAGTATCGTGAACATATATGATTTTGTATTAATGTACATATATTTCATTTTAACAATATAAGTTTTCATTGACATTCAAACTTTTAAGGGGGGAGGTGTTGTTAGGTGTGTTGTATTTGTATTATTTCATCATGTATATTATTAGTAACATTAAGTTTCTTGAACATTCCAGAGTGGTCAACATGTTCGGTCATTTTTCTAGAACATTCTTGAACTTTGTGTATGTCCAGAACTTTCCAGTAATATCATGTACTTACAACTTCTAGAATATTCTAGATTTATATTACTGTATAAATATCCTGTCAATTCGATGCATAGATACTCTTGTCGTATGAGCACCATTGAGTTACAACTGGGATATATTTTCACTGGGACATTGTGTGCAGCAACGGACACTCTGATGTATGTATTTTTAGATTTTTGCTAAGTTTGTACTTAATGATTTGTATATTACTGTAAATAAATTATTGTTAAGTTTAAACTGTGTGATTGATCTTTGCTGGCATTTAGGGTTATTCTGACCCATAACAACTCTTTGTAGTTAATTAACAATCGCACTAAACAAAGGCCATGCTTTGGTATTAATCGACTATCTAAATTCTGTAAATAATATTCCGTTTAATAATAAAACACTTTTTTCATTGATAAACAATGTTTCAATTTGCCTTTCACAGCACACGAAGTACGTCATTTTTACCAGTATGACGTCATATTTACAAGTTCATCGCAATGAGTGCTTATTTTGTAATCAGCTACAAGGGATTTAACTAGCAACTTTTTTTAATGCATTGATAAGTTATAATGTTGTTTATTGTGCGAATACTGTTCAGCGTTGTAAATTATTTCATTTACACGTAATATGAGAACTACATAAATATCAAATTTTTGTGTGACGTCATAGTATACTTTTCCCGTATAAATTAGGCCACGCCCCCTTATTCAAGCCTTAACAATGCTGCGTTCTGCTTCATACTTGGATATTTTACTTGAAAAGACACTAATGGTAATCTAACAACCAAACTATATGATAAAAGTGATGACTATAACTTTTTAGGTCATCTGAGTAAACTCAGGTGACCTATTGCTATCACTTTTTGTCCGTCGTCGTCGTTCGTCGTGCGTTAACATTTGAACATTTTCAACTTCTTCTCTGAAATCATTGAACCAATTTCAACCAAATTTGGCATATAGCATCTATGGGTGAAGGGGAAAAAAATTGTGATTTTCATGGGCCCTGCCCCCCTGGGGCCTTGGGAGGGGGGAAAAAACCACTAAAATTAGTGCAATCTTAAAAAAATCTTCTTCTTTACTCCTGGACATCAAGCAGTCAAACTGTTTGTATGATTGTAATTAGCATTGAGTCCTCTACAAAAATTGTGAAATTCATGTCCCCAGGGTCAGGGGTTCTGGTGTTAGGGTGGGGCTCTATAGATTATATAGTGAAAATACATGAATTCTTTGAAAATCTTCTCTGCTTCTGGGTATTAAATAAACTAAAGTGCATAGTTATGATGAGCAAGAGCGCCTCTTCCAAAATTGTGAATTTTATGGCCCCAGGGTCAGGGATTCTAGTGATAGGGTGGGCTTTATTGATTATTCAATGAAAATACACTAAATCTTTGAAAGTTTTCTTTTCTGCTCCTTGGTATTAACCTATGTAGTTATGATGAGTAATGGTCCTAATCTTCCAGAATTGTGAATTTCAAGGCCCCAGGGTCAGGGGTACCATAAAGGAGGGGGGAGCTGTACCTATGTACTGAAACTGGATGAATTGTTTGAAATCTGCTTCTTGGTATTTATCAAATATTTTTGAAAAGCAAGGGTGCCTTTTCAAAAATTGTGCAATGTGTCGGTCTAGGCCTAAGGGTCAGGGGTTCATGTGTGATGGGGGCATTACTGATGATGCTGAATATTACTGATTACTTGAAATGTATTTTTTGTTCCCCTACCCTGCCTATTGGTATTAAGTAAACAAACTAAGCAACTGCTAAGTGTATTGTTATGATGAAGTACTACAGTATGAAAAAAACGGTGGAAAGAAAATATTGATGCACCAACTGGAACAGAAAGGAAAAATTTAAGGCAGAAATATCAGTTTGATGAAATGTATGGTACAAAAGAAAGCACAAAACCAACAGAAATGGTAGACACATTGGAAAAGAAATCAGAGACGCAAGGGCCAAAACAAATAAAGTCTACAGAGCAACCCAGAAGGAAGAAAAATACTGTAAAAAGGCGTTCAGACGTAATGGAAGTATTAGAGAGGCATAACAAGGAGTTTAATGTGAAAATGGAACAGATGCACACGGATAAAATGACAAGACTAGATAGACTTTTAAATCTCTATGAAAGAGAAATTGAAACAAAGCAAAGTTGCTGTAAATAAATGTTGATTTCATTCCCCATTACATTTTCATTTGTGCACATTTAACTAAAACTACCGGTATATATTTTGAAAATTGTTTTTGAACACTTTAGTAAGTGGCAAGTTGATGTGCAAACACTGAATCAGATCCAGCTTTTTTATTGTTAAGCTGCCATGATTTTTTTTTCCTTTTTCATGTGATATAAATTAGTTTCTACTGTGCCAAAAAGCAATATGTTGAAGTTTTGTGATTTATTTTATTTTTTTTATCCTGATAGGATTATTAATAAGATGTTCAATTTAAGCTATTCATTCTTTATTATGAGGACATCTGCACAAAAATAAAGTTTCCTTAAATACTGAGGTAAAAACAAACAAGCAAAAAGTAGTGGTCCACCGCTTTCAGTGTCTTATTGACTTAGTGGGTGATATGCCATTATGGCATAGTTAGTCAAATATGAACGCCCTTTCATATGTCATTTTTCAGTAACTAAACATGAGGGTCAAGGTCAAGGGGTAAAAAAATCAGCATGCTCAAAAACATCTTGTCTCTGGAAGTTCATTTGTCAAATATGATATCCTTATCTCTTCTCAATCAAAAGTTACAATGAAACAGAGCATTTTTGAAAAGTAGGACACATTCATGGTCAAGTTCACAGGGTAAAAAATCATAGCATAAAGGTCTTGTCACAAGTATTGTTGCATTACTTGTGTAGTTATGTTTTTACTAGCCCGACGGGCTACCTCCTTGAGAAAACAACTAGCCCGATCCCAAAAAAAGGTACCCCGGTTGTTTGGATATGCTAATTCCTCACCCCTGGTACATGGGCGTTTTGGAAAACTTTACAGCCTGTTACAAAGTACAAACAAACTAAACAGATCCCGCGCTTCTGTCAAATGTACGTATAAAATTCATTCTCGTTCAAAAGGCTGTGACTAAGGTTAAAGTTTTTGTGACAGATAAATGAGATTCAATGTCCCCTTGCTTTTGGGGGGACAATAATGAGTATGTCATTATGTTTTGTTGTTGATAGTTGTAAATTTTATTGCATTTGAAAAAACTCTTAAAATTTCAATTTGTTTATTGTACACTGTACACCACTCTTGTACAAAATGTATGCAATATACCTTACAATAAATAATCACTTGCATATTGGCCCAGAAACAATTCAATACAATAATGCAGCAATTTGTGTCATCGTTAAAAACTATTGACAAGCTGCATTCTCCTTACAATGCCATTGTGTCCGTTTTGGTAAATATTATCACACTGGCAGTCATTTGGATCCTGTAAGTGTTCTCCCATGATGTAGTCTTCAACTTCATCATCATTAATGATGCACTTGTTGTGTAATATACAGGCAGCCAAAATCATTTGGCAAATTTCTGTGGAGTTGTGTAATGGAATGTCCTGCAGCCGACGAAAACGTCCTTTTAAATGGCCAAAAGCACGTTCAACACATTGTCTTGCACTTGACAGTCTCTTGTTGAAACGGACTTGCTGTGGGGTAAGATTTCCCAAGTTCTTAAAGGGGGTTATTAACCAGTTCCTGAGAGGATACGCGCTGTCAGCAAGAATATAGTGATCAACGAGTACAAGGTTTCCTGCCTCAGCCTCTGTGTATAGAGATGATTTTCTCAAAACCCGAGCGTCATGTACACAGCCTGGCCACCCAGCATAAATATTTGTAAATTTCATCTCATGGTCTACTACATCCTGCAAAAATATTACATATATGTACATCTAATCAAGAAAATATACGCAAAGGAGTGGAAAACATGTTTTTTAACTGCCCTTAAGGACAATCTCTTCATTTTGGTAAGCATGGAGTTTATTTAAACATAATTAAATTTATTTTTCCAGGTAATTTATTTGAAGAACATTAAAATTTTTACCGAAAAGTTGATGGATAATATATGTGATGTATAGGAGATATTCAAAATGATCATTGATGTTAAAAGATGTTACCGGTATGTAATAAAACAATGGTACTATGATAATACCCTAGAAATCACTTCTTGCTAATTTTAAGCTTATGCAAGGTTATGACATTAATCATTTATGCAAGCAAGATACTTTTACACTTACTGCTTACCTGTAAAAAGAAATCGCCATCTTAATTCCAAATTTGAAGACTTCAAGAGGCACGATGTTCATGTTGATAGCTATTCTGGTGATACAAGTTGATGCGGGATGACAGAGGGAGTTCGAAGGGGGGAACTACGTCATGGCTAACGTTCTCATCCTGGAGAGGGCCATAGGAGAGATACACATTGAGGACTATCCAGCACTGACCAGGCTGATCATCCACGACCAACAAGCCAGTTGCAACGACATATCAGCAAACCCCTGGACGACGGTCCGCATAGGCTTCCGCACTTGTCAGGTAATTATATTTTTTATATATATATATATTTAATTTTGTTATCTATGTCATTAAAAAAAACAATAATTTTAATTCTCAAAAGAAAACTTGTAAGGGAAATATATCGTTAAGAATTGATTGAATCGATGTTTTTTTAACAAAATTAAAAAAAGTAAATTAAAATTGAAATTAAGGTTTCTATCTCTTCTTTTTTCAGAACGTCCAGCACAGCAGTGAACCCAAAGACGTAACAATGACCACGCTCAGAACCGTTGAATTGACGGCTTTAACCTTCAGTAAGTTTTGAATTAAAAATAAATAAATTTGAATAAATAGTATAAAGGATTATTTAAATTACTATTACATAGAAGTTGTTTCTAAAGCCACCCTATGTTTATTTAGACACACCTTGGATATATGTTATCCTTGGAGGGACGGGTGTAGTGATACTTATATTCATAGGGATGATCGTTCTATTGTTAAAAGAAGGTGCCAGAGGAGACGGGTGGACCTCGAATCTCGATCCCTTACAGAATTCGATGCAGTTGTCATGCGGGATTTCAAGTGTGATTAACTTTTTTTTGTGATCATTCTAACGGTTTGTGTAAAGAGAAGAGGCCGTGAAGTACTCGTGCGAGCCCCCACACCATCCCCAGTCATGCCAGCGCCTCAACCAGCGCCACTCAGACGCTCAACCAGACAGAGGCGCCCACCCATCAGACTGTTATATTGATTTGTATTTGTCACGATATTTGTTCATAAACTTGTTGATTTTTTCTGAAATTCTTTATGTATTTAATAAACGAAATATAAATATTTGAATTATTTGTAATTTTTGTATTATTGTGTCAGTGGTTCTTTTGTAAATTTTGAGTTCAATTTCTACAGTCTGTTTAAACCGTTTACAGAATTGAAAAAAACGACAGGTTGAAACTTAAACATTTTAATTTATACAAAAATGACAAACATTTAACTTCCGGAGGATTCTCCTCCCTGCCACCTCCTTTCTCAGCGCCTCCAAACTTTCTTCGAGTCTCTGCAGGCGTTGGTGAATACCCTCTTCTTGGATGGTCTGGAAAAGATAAATGATATTGTAATGAAAAAGACTAGAAAACTTAAGGATGTATAAAACAAAGGAAAAATTGAGGCCTTTATTTTCTAAAGAAAAAAAAATTACGACTACGAGCAGAAGAAAAAAAATATTAGCAGAATTAAATTTGGTCGTAGTCGTAAGTTCTTTTTTTATATATAAAACAGGTCCTCAAGGTAATCATGGTTAGATCATCCTTAACATAATGTTTGCTTGTGTTTCCCGACTCAATTTTTTTTAAAAAAATATTTGTTGACAAGATAAAAGGAATAAAGAAAAATAATATATTTTCCTTTTTTCTTGAACGTAGGGAAATGGAGTTGGTCGGGAAAGCACAGCCAAAACAATTTTAAAGATGACCTTACATGAAATACATTAACCAGTGGCGGATCCAGGAATTTCGCAACAAGAGGGTACAGTAAAAGGTAGGGGAGGCGGGGGCTGTAATGAAGTCCCCTCCTCCCAGTAGGTCTTTTAAGGCCACGGTCCTGATGAGGGTTCGGGGTGAATCCCTCGGAAGCTTACACATTATTTTTACATATAAGAAATGTTATTTCGGTGCGCCGTCCCTGGATCCGTCACTGTTTACTTTCGGATAACACGATGAATTCAGTCATAACCCGGAACTTAGTCATAACCCGGAAAAAGATTATCCATGTAAAATAATGTAATACATGTGTATGACTAATGATGTACTATATAAGACTGAGGAAAATGTACTCATTATTTAATTAGGTGTTCAATGCTCTTTTCCAATGCTCGCATTGCTTATCTTTCCCTCTGTCGTTCCCCTCCTTCAAGTTCCACGAGTCTTCGTTTGGCTATTTCCCTGGCACGTCCAATCTGATCCATGCTATTGCACATCCATGCCAGACAGGCCTGCAGCTCTTCTTTGCTGTCTGGCAGGGTAGGGAGTATAAGACTTGGGTAGTCTCTCCAAGAGGTCTGAGTGGACACGGTGGTTCATGAGACTTCCTTCCCGGCCTGGTAATCCTCCAGGGAAATCCTCCTCATCTTCACTGGTTCCTGGGCCCTCAAGGTTCCACACAATGTCTGGTCGACACTCTTCGCTTGATCATCCTTGGCAGTCTCGGGAGCCATCTCTTTCAATGTCGGGAGGACGGTCTTATTGGTCTCCGTGACGGATGCGCCTTTGAAAATGAAAAGTCTTGGGTCAACGTAACCCCTGTTCTCTCGGACCACTGATTCACATTTCTGTAGTATATTCTCCACGCGTCGGGGATCCCTCTCATGCTTGGTCCTCAAATGGGCTCTCATATCTGATTTACGCCGGCACTCGGCCAGACACGAAGCCACCGGACACAAAAACTACTTGGACTGCAATCTGTGTCTTTCCTCCCAGTGTCTACTGAATTTTGTTTTTGTGGGAAACTTTATCCCTTCGCATCTTTTCACTGGGCACGCCATATCCTTAGGGTTGTACTTTACTTCCATAAAATTCGTATCAAATTGTTTCAGTACTTCGTTGACCTCGTCTAGATCTGCGAACAGGTCAAGGTAATCATCTGCCATCTAAAATGAAGATTAGTTTGATAATTTTATAAGTTCATTCATGTAAAATTTTACATGCTGAAAAAAATACCCAAGAGTTATATATGTATGTCCCTTTTACTACATGCATTACATGAAATGTGTGCTCAAAATAAAGGTTTGCTGAAATCTTCATAAAGTTGATCACCTTTCTCTTATTGCATCTAGCTATGTATTTTTTAATCTTACACAGTCTTACACTGATTATATTTCATTTTACAATTCACATCATCATTCGAGTATTGGAATAAATATGAGCTATATTTTCTGTCAATGATTTTTTTCAATTTTTTTGTTGTTAATAAAATCACCTTCTTTCAATATATTTCCCCTCCAATCTTCACTTTGTACGTCTGAGTTTACAAAGTATTTCGGGTACATGTGTGCTAAAAAAATTGTAAATCATATTTCATTTCAAAGCCGCTTACACAAAGATTATTTTTTTTACTTGTGATATTCCTGTACTTTTAAATCCTTTTTACCCATCTGTATTTTTTTTCTAGTTTACAGCCCACTATCCTCGTTAAATGCTCTAAAGGATTTCAGTTATATAATGTACTTTAATTATTTCTCGTAGTTCATTTCCCCCCAAAACTCTTACGACTAAGAATAACATTTACGTACAAAATTATACAAATAGTAACGACTGTCAAATTTAAAGAATGACTGGAAATTCTTAGTCTTAAGACGTTTTGTGGAAAAAAAGACTAATAAATCATGAATGATGGATTTTTTCCTTTGGTTATATTTCAATATACATATACATGCTAAAATAAATATAGGAATGGCTAGTAATATGTAAAGATACATAAAACGTTCATGCTTAGTACCCCGGGTGTCATCTGCTGAACTACCCCTGGTCCTCACGCCCTCCGTGGTGTTGATGTCCTTAGTTGTACTCGTAATCGCAGATGACAGGTCTCTCCCACTGTAAATGTTAGCGGAACTGGATGTTGTAGATTTTCAAGTCGTATGTTCGTTAGTTGAGTGTATGTGGGAAATGTATAATGTTTACTGAGGGGGTAATGGTGATATACCGGTAATACAATAGCCCCCAAAACTGTGTTAGGTATAAAATTGAAAATTAAACAGTTTAAAAGGTTTTCATTGCGTAACAGATAGAAAATATCACTTGATTTAAAAAAAGTATCAGCCTTTCAGAGACCATTCATATTCGACCTGCCCTTCAATGATTAAAATTTATTTCTACAATTTTAGTTTTCACAAAAAGGACAAAATTAAGCATGTGCATATTTTCTTTATATATTCACACTTTCTGACACGCTTTTTCTCAAGAAAAATATTTTAAAATATTTGTTATCAAGTGATACTTTCTATCTATTTATCATCGATATACTATTTGACTTTATAACACACATAGCTTTGAACCAATTGTAAAAAAAGAATTATTTTGACGTGTTAACCTTTGACGAAACCTAAAGAAATGGGACAAAGAGTTTGATGTTTGTTTCCTCTATTATTTGCTCATACTCTGTAGCTTTTGACTGACAAGGTGTTAAGTGTATCTGAGTGGTGTTCGGCAGTTTATTTTCTTCGTAGTTGATGAGTTTATACAGTGTAAGTAACTAACCAGTGATTTTACTCAGTGATTTTACTCATCACAATTGAAAATTGCAATTATTTAAATAGAGACAATGCTATCCAAGCTCTTGTATTTTTATTCTCAAGATACGACTCTGATAAAGGGTAAAACCATTTCATTACAATCAGATTCTAATTCATCCGAGCTTACTTCAAGGGCCAGAGAAGTTTGGGAATTTTTGTCATTATATATTTGTTATAAGCTTGTTGATTTTCTTGCATTACGCTTAGATGAGGTGTTTTGGTGGCTTTGGTCTTTCTGGATGAAGAATTAGATTGCAGACTGTTTGAGGTCGAGCTAGATAGAAGAGACTTGGATAACGACACGTGAGAGAAATTGAGCGAATCTGCATTGTAGTCTGGTCCATATTCTTAAAAAAAGGAAGCTAGAAAATATTTCTAGCGGCAAATTATTATTATTTGGTCTAGCACAGTTTTTAAACCTATTTTGAGTATGCTGAATCCGAAAAAAATACGCTGGCTTTCATAAAAACGGCGTTAAGTAGGTCAAAATGGCGGACACCAACTTTTTTTTCTAAATTCTCCTTTGAAATTGCTCAACCTAGAAAAGAATGCCATAATAGCTATGTATATACCAATTTTATATTACAACATTACTAACAGCTAGAAATGAAGCACCTTAGTTAAATAATTCAGCCGTTTTCCTCCAAAAACTCTATTTTTTTATCTTTTATTTCTTTGCTCTTCTTTGTTACGGATTATTGCACGCATGCATGTTCATACATTTAAGATTAGTTCTTTTGCGTGGAATCATATTTTAAAGAAACAAAAAATATATAATATATTTGAATTCATTTTTTAGTAGAAATTGTCACAAAAAAATAATTGTCCACTAAAAATTAAATTCTTTTGAGAATGAAAGGGAATACAAACCTAATCAGTCACCCATCTATTGCCATACAGAGATCTTATGTCAGTATCAGTAAAACTGAAGTCGGAAACTTTCCCCACTTAGTATATATCCTGTACTTCTTTCCAAACTCCAAAGTTTACCCACTTGTAAAGCTGTAATTATAAAAAAAAAAAGAACTACAATAAAAGGACTCTTCAATAGACAAAACATTTTGTATGAATATAATTTATTTAACTTTCTGTTAAAAAATGAATGATATAAAAATAGTTTTATAGAAAAGAGAATAGACCCCAATTAGGCTCAAAATTTATAGGACCACGATGCTCTACCCACCATGTACCCGTGTAAATGAAAATTTACCAACTACTAGTAAGCTTCATATATACTGCTACATGTAGCAGAACATGACAGTACTGAACCTATAATACATCTATACAGAAATCAATAAGTTTTTTAGCATACATGGCTACAATATTGTTTCATGTCTTCTTATGGATATGAAGAGCATGTATCAGAATAATAAACTCTTTTCTTGACTGATGAATTGCTTTCTCCTTCTTTCTTCAGAATGCCTTTTACAGCGGAAACTGAAAGTTCCATAGCATAGAAATATGATTAAATGAACAAAACCCTAACATCAGCGAGGCATTATATTCAAACACTTACAGTAGTGATTTAAAATTGATTAAGATTTTTTGACTAACATTGGACTAATAAGGGATTTAAAAATTATTTTATTCAAATCTGTAGCATAAATGTAAATGATAACAAAAATATATCTTATATGTTTTAAATACACATTGATCATTATCATCTAAGACGCCCCTGAAAATGTTTTGTAAATGAACATGCAATGGGTCAGTGCATTTTCCCATTTTGTTTACTTTAAAACACTTACATGAAGAAATTAAGCCTTTTATATGTGAAAGGACAATATATATACAAGTATTCATTGTAAGGATAATGGATGTTGAATTATAATTGTATAAAGTATCGACATCCAGTTATGAAAATCCATTAATATTAATTTTCATGTTAAGAAATCAAAAACAGAAGTATATTTTTAGAAATTAAAAGTGTGGTGCATTTAAATAATATTTGTAAATCTTACTCCAAAATCCTAAAGGTTGACCGCTCTGTTTTGTGTTAGCAATTGTACATTGTATGATCATTGAAGTTGAAACTTACAACTGATTGTTGGGCGACCTTTACTGTCCCATTTTGGAGTGTTACAACTTTGAGCACCACATAATTTTGTCCGGCTTTGATAGTGTTCAAATGCCTCTCATGGATGAGGAGGGCCTTCACTGATCTGTAAGCGTTGTCTGAGGAGACGATGTACGTAGTCCCAAACTGTGACCCATAAGCATAACGTCTTGTCTGTACGTTTTCCAGGACATTTAGAGTCATGGTGGGGGGTCCCTTTAAAGATAAATACAACAATTTATTTAACCTTATTTGGAATTGTTCTTTTTTAGATGGTGGCTATATATAGCCACAGGCTATTGCTGCTGGTCTGGGCTACGAGTGTGAACACACGGGGAACAAAGTGGCGAGTTTTGGGGAATGAAAATAATAGAAGTAAACTCATTTTCATGTTTAAATATAAAATGTATATAGTTAACAAATACTTTCAAGTAAGTTTAAGGACATTCGTTAATGGATTCAAAATCATATTCCTGATATTTCCATTATCATATCTCGCCTCATGAATATTCATTGAATTACAGAATATTCATTGAATTACACCGAAGCAAACTAACTCGTACACCAACTGACCTGTTTATTCGTAGGCAAACTGTAGATGGCAATTTGAATGC